ACATCTCCTCTGCACCAGGATAGATAGTGCCAGGCAGTCTCTATGAGCCAGTATCTGTGACCAGTCATCATTTACAAAATGGTGGAAGCACACATCTGGCACTTGAGATAGCTCTTACTCCCCATCAGGCTGGGGGGGAAGCCTTGTAGATGATATTGGACTGCCTGGGAACACTGTTTCCTTCAAGCCAGCTGTTTCTCTAGATGCATGAGACATGTTCTTTGTACATAAAGAATCACAGTAATTCTCATAGGCCCGTATCTCCGTCACAGCTAGTGGACTTGGCAGTTCTGAGCTGTTTGGCCACGAACAAGCAGCATCCTAGGGAGCACTTTCAGGGAATTGTTTCAAACTGCTTTTGGATAGGTAGGACTTCTTTTGTGAGAGTGCTTTTAGTTTGAAGGTTGTGCCAAAATTAAAGGCCCAAACAAGTTTGTTGAATGATTCAGGTTGGAAGAGACCTCAGTCTATCCTCCTGCTCCAAACAGGGTCTCTTCTCCAGGCTGAACAAGCCTTGTGCCCTCAGCCTCTTTACAAAGGGCATGTGCAGGAGCAGAGTCAAAACCAAGAGCATTTAATTTATCTGTGCTGCATCCTGTCCTGCCAGCAGTGGAATGAGCTGGCACGAGGAACACGCTGAGACAGAAACATGACACACTGCTGAGGGTAGGTTGACTGTTTCAACACTGAGGCTTTGAGACTGATTTTTCTTTCTTATACCACGACTTGGACCCGAGTGTAGTTCAAGCCTATGAGGTACTGTGTACATCAAGTTAGCCTTGGCCAGGCTGTGGCAAATGCAGAGTGGATATGATTACACTGACTGGACATGGGTGCAGCTCTGTGCCCATTCCTGATGGGTATGGCTTACCTGGGTTATCACACCTTGGTGCTGAGGCTGGATGAATTCTGTGAGGAAATGCTGTCTTTGGGAGCTTGTCTGAAATTAGAAAAGCTCACCTTGTATAAAGGATACCAAGGATAAAGTTTAAGGGCCAACTTGTCAAAGTATTTAGGCATTTTATTGCTATAGATAATGGAATATCCAAAAGCCTATCAAATGCATTAACCATTAGAGAATGCGTTTTATACAAACCACATAGTCTGCTAGTGCCAAACTTGTATGCCCTTTGGTCAGCAAGGTCCTCAGCACTACCTGGAAAATAAAGATACCTACTAGGGGAGATAAAGAGGGGAAGGTATAGCACTTCATTGCATCAGGTCTGAAATAGAGTTTTAAGGAATTATGGTTAGTATAAATACTGAAGCTGGAGCAGGAGCAAGAAATGAGGAAACCACAATGAGAAAGAAAATGACAAGAACAAGGGAATAAAACAAAACAAACCAACCAAAACAAACCAAACCAAACCAAAACAAAACAAAGCCAGAAGAATAGAAAATAAATAAATAAAGATCTGTATTTAACAAAGTGCAGTCTACAAAGTAACCAAACTCCAGAAAAGTAGTTATGGACTCGAGTCAGCACTGCCAGGTCAGGGAGACACCTGGAAAAGACTGCTGCGGGCCGAAGTTCTCAAAGAAGGTGGTGAGGTGTCCATGTGTTCCATGTGTTACAGCTCTGGGGACCCTCACGCTGGCCTTGCAGTCATCCTAGAGTTCATTTGGGTCTGATGCCCACATCTTTGAGGATATAACCCTGCACCAGGCTTTCCCCTCATGTCTTTCAGTCTTGGCCTTTGTCTGCTGTGAAAACCCAGGTATCCCTTGGCCCTTCCTCAGGTGCTAGCAGTCTGGTCCATGAGGAGTTACTGCTCACACAGCTCAAGACAACACAGATGTCTCCAGTGCCACACAAGCTGAACCTTCCCAGCTGCAACTCTAACAGGTTTGCTACTCAAAAATAATACCCTGCTTCCTAATTCCAGCAAATAATGTTGCTGCAAATTTCTTACTCTTCAGTGGGACAGACTGTTGTCCCACCACTCAGGCAACTATTGTCCTGTCACAAAGGCCACTTGCCAAACAAGTTGGTTTCTTGAATTGTAACCTAAAACATAGTGCAGGTAGGGAAATCACTGACTTCATCACAGCAGTGTGAACACAACCCCATCCCTTAGGGCAGATGTTTCATACAGCAGGGGAAATGGGGAGGCATGAAGGATGTGGGTGGTGGATAGGAGTGAGGTAATGTGGAGAGGGTGATATCATGGTACAGCCACAAGGGTTGGATGGGGCCTAAAGAAGTAAATTTTGGCATGTTTAGCCTCATTTCCCTGGGATACAAGGCTTACAGTATCATTTTGGTTGTATATGTGTGCACATGCTGTAATAAGGGAGAGGCTGAGTCTTCAGAGTAACCCTCATGAGGTGCCAGAGATCCAGGCGAGTGATCTTGACAGTGCCCCAAGAATGGAGAAAACCTCTGTTGAAGCCTGCGTTTTATTAAACACAGGAGAATGTATCCACCCATGAGATGTACAATTGCCATGTGTCCAGGCTTCCCTTGATCTGTTTCTCAGGCAACTTGTTACTGAATTTCAGTTGTGCAGCCACTTGGGGATAAGCATGTATCTCAAAATTTGCAATCCCAAATGTATAACAAAATGTTTGTTTTAGAAATACCAGTGACTGGAAAGTAAGCATCAGCAGAAATGAAATACTGGTGTATGTAACAGAACAACATCTTCTCTGTAGAGCAATGATTCCCAATTTCTTTGGCCCACCAGAGCATTGCAGCCTTCAAAATTTCAAGCAAACATCGTTCACTCTTATAATGAAGCTTTTAGCTGAAAGCATTTTTATGATACTTTCGTTGTGTAGCCAGAAATGATGAATTACCTTATCCATTATGGCCACAGCTTGAAAACACAACCATAAATGCATTTTCTTTCCCCTTATTCTACTGCTTCTGATTCAAGCTGCATGTTTTGGGTCCATCACAAAAGAGCAAAGATTCCCATCAGATTTATTTTTCATGCACTCAGGTTGTACAAACTGTTCCTTTGCAGTTTTCAGTTTTAAATGGTGAAAGATTGTTGGATACCATGTATTTGGTTATAAAATGTGTGCCTTTGTACAGCAATAAGGATCTGGTGTCTGCAATGAGATTGTTTTGTCTTGTGCTCACGCTTTCTGATGCTTTTATGAGAGATGCTTTTTGGTTTTTACTTCTACCCATTTCCACATGATAGAAACTAACCTGAAGAAATACATTTTCATGTACCTGAATGTCAACACAGAATGGGAGATTTAATCCTCTACTTTCTGTTCCATATTTAGTCCTTTGAGTACACAGAAGAAAAACCCATGCTCACAGTGACCTACATAATCCAGCACAGTGCCTAATCACACCTGCATGAGGAGGCTGCCAGTGGTATCAGGGAGGGAATGCGGGCTCTGGGAGACCCCTGCTAGAGCCCTGCTCTGAAGACTGATATGAGTCACTTTTGCTCTATGGAAAAAGGGAGCCTCCTCATGTAACACAGCTTCCACAGAGCTGAACATCAAGGGCACAGAAACTGATGAATCTTTTAAAATGTATTTATCATTTGCCATTTGTTTTTTCTTACGGTGGCACTCACTTCAGGGTGACTCAGGGTAAGCTTCTGCAAACTAGAGGCCAGCTGATTTGAGCCATAACTATGCCTGTCCTGTATCATGAGGCAGGGCAATCAATGACTCCAGAACAGAGAGGTACATCATGAAAGGTGGGTTTAAAAAAAAACGAAAAACAAAACCAAGCAATGAAAGCCACATTGCTCAGCATCAGCAGTGAAATAATTAGACATCTCTTCAGGATGGATTTATAGACTAGTACCGTTCACAGGCAGAAGCAGAACTTGCTGGGGAGGATGCTTTAGAAATGCAAAATTAGTAACAGTAGTCCTAAAAACAAAATTGAGTAGGGAAGCAAAGCCTGAGGAAGCACAGAAAAATGGCACAGCTGCCGTGAACAGACCAGATGAGGGCTGATCTAGGGTAACTCTTCCCATAGTTTTCTCCTTGCAGCAGCATGCTGGAATACTCTTTGTGAATGAGGGTACACGTGCCAGCATCTCCCTTGGTGCCTGTCTGCATTGAGGGCACAAAATAAAGCAGGAGAAGAAGACAGTTTATGGGCATGCTTGGTCAGAGTGAGATGGTATTTTAAAGCCAGGGGTGCTGTTTTTGGTTACAACAAACCTCAAAACTCAAGAAAATGCCTTTGACAAACGGTGTCATAGTGTTGCTTGCTGCGACAGAGATTTCTGTACATGCCCAAGGCAATGGGTCTCTTTGCATTGTCAGATCCTTCAAGCTACTGGAGGCTACTGAAATTCAGAGATGAAGAGATAAAACAAGAAGATCACAAGTATTTATACACAAATGAGCACCACCAGGCATTTCAGGTGGAATTTTGAGCCCCTGTGCCTGGCACGAAGCCCTGGCTGCCTGTTTTGCTCAGAGGACATTTGGATCCTAAGATATATGGGTTTAAACCCTTATTTTTAAACCTGCCCACATCCCGACCTGAGTGACACCTGTAGCTGTGGTCAGCATTTCAGTGGCCTCAGGGCTGGAGAGTGGGGGGACAGTGGGTTGAGTCGGTGAGTGAGTCCCGCCTGTGGAGTAGCCACCTCGTGCCTCAGTTTCCCCATTTTTGTGATAACGTAGGGGGCGGCTGTGACCCCTCGGCGAGATGCTCTTGGCCGGGCTGGCGGGCATCCGCGCCCCGGCACGGCTGTCGCCAGTCCCGAGCCCCCACCGGGGCAGGGCTCGGGGAGCCTCCCCGGCCCCGGGTTCCGCGCGGCGGGGGTGTGAAGCCGGGCGTTGTGGGGCGGCAGCCGAGTCCCCTGGACGCCCCTCAGCCTCCCGCTGCCTTCAAAGGCCGCCGAGGTCGCCGTGGGGCGCCGAGGGGCCGGCGGCGGGAGGGACGGGGGCACCGCCGAGGGGCGGCGGGGAGCGGGCGGGGGCCGGGGAGGAGTCGGCCCCGGGGCGGGGGTCGGGCCGGGCCGGGGGTGGAGCCGCGGACTGGCGGGTCGGGGCGAGGGGGAGCCCTCCCCTTCCCTTCACGACCGAGCCGGAGCCGGGGAAGGCGCCTCCGCAACTCCTCCTGCCCCGCCGGTGCCGCCCGCCGCCCGCAGCATGGTGAGAGGGGTCTCCGGGCGGGAAGTTCGGCGGCGGCGGCCGCCCCGCCGGCCCCGGCCCGGGCCGCGCTCACCGCCTCCCCGCTCCCTCTCTTGCAGATCTGGAAAACTCTCCCGTTGCTCTGCGCCCTGCTGGCCGCCGCCCGCCTGCGAGCCGAGGTAGGCGCGGGGCCCCGGCGGCGGGACGGGGAACGGGACGGGACGGGGTGGGGACAGCGGGGGCGCCGCAGCGCCCGCCGGGGAGCAGTCGGGACCGGGGAAAGTGGCAGCCGGGGCGGAGAGGGAAGTTGCGGGGCCGACGGGCGCCTCGGTGGGGCCGAGGGGCTGTGTCCGCTCCGGGGCCGGACCCCTGCATCCCGCCTCCGGGATGGGCTCCCCGGGGCAACCCCCTTTCCTCCCCTCCCTCCTTTTCACCATCCCTCCCTTCCTCTCTCCCGCGCGCTCTTTCCCTCGCTCTTCTTTTCTTCCTTTCTTTCATTGCAATGACATTGAAAACCTTTGAAAGCCCCCAGCTGCAACCCCCCCAGCTCTGTTGACAGAAAACAAACGGTGCCTGCATTCCCGGTTGCGGCGGCCTCCCTAAAAAGTGAAGTCAGAAACAAAATATTTGATAATTACGGCAGGGGAAATGTGGAAGTGATTTGAGGAAAATGAACTCAAGCTGGGCTGGGAAGGGAGGCCGAGCCTGCCTTCGGAGGAAAGCGGTCCCGCTCGGGGGGCAGCTCGTCCTCCCTCCCTGCATTTTTTCTCCCTACATATTTCTCCCAGATGGCGAGACCCACCCTAGAGCATTGCAGTTTGGCTCCATTAAAAAAAACCAGCAAAACATAAACACGTCTGGTTCCCTCTTTTTCTGCCTTCCATCCGTGGACTGTGCTAACCGGGTTATGGTAAAGAGTGGGGTTTAGGATGGAGCCCATCGCTGTTGCTCTCTCTCCTCGGGCAAAGCTCTTTGTGAATTCCCTGCAACAGCCAGGTGAGGAGCAGAATTGAGACGGGGTGGTTGTTAGCCAGCGCTGTTGGGCTCTGGTCGCTGCTGTCATTAAAACCAAGGGGAGTGGGACTGAGCGGTAGTATGGACCAGCATTTCACATCTGCCTGTACATGGTAATACTGTAATACACATTCTTCTCAAAGCATGACATACTCGTGTAGTGAGCGTTTCCATGCGTCCTCTCCAACACTGTCCTGAATAAGCCAAATCATGTTTATTCATTTTCTTAGAAAGCCTAAATAAACCTTAACCAATGTACACCAACACCTCTGTGGGAAGGCGGTGTCCAGCATCCATAAGAAAAATTACATTAACAGCTAAATAATGATGACACTGGTCTGAGTAAAGCCTTCTGGGTTCAGTAACCCAGAGAAACAACCAAAATATGTTTGGCCCTGCATTTGTGATTTCAATGGTGTCACTAAGATTGCCGAAGTGCTAAATCCTGCTTTTTGCCGAATGTTTTCTAATTTGTAGTACCTGGATAGCTTCCCAGATGTAAGTACTGTCATGTCTCTGTGTCTCACCTGCAAACTGAAAGTAAGAAAAATGTACAGTCATCATGTTCAAAACTTGGTTTTAAAGGCCAGTTCCTGCTTGAGTGAATAAATTAATTATTATGACTGGCTTCAGAGATAATGGTCCAAATGGCAAACCAGTGAACATTTTGGTTTGATTCCAGTCTAAGTTCAGCAAAACTTGAGACTGATGACTGAGTTCTGGGTCTGGTTTCAGGGAAAATGGACACTTCAGGCAACTTTGTTTTGGGGTTCTGTTTAATTCCTCTTTGCTGGTAGCTGCCAATATCATTTCAGTCACAGGTAGCATCCCACCCTCAGGGATATTTAGACCTTCTCATTTTCTAGGGAGTGGGGTGTGCTTGAAGGTGAGCTGCTTGTAATTCAGCAATGCTCAGTAATTCAGAGAGCGCTTTGATGGCTGCCCACTTCTAAATGTAACTTGTTACTACTTTACTGCATCACTGGCATTCAGTAAGATTAGTGTGTCATTTTCCTGTGTGGTTTTCCCTTTCCAGATTTTGGAAGCGATAACCCTCTCTATGCCTTCTGTTTTTGCTGCAGCTTGCACTTTGTCCCTTTCAGTACATTTGGAATATTAACACTGAGACTTAAGCTTCTAATCCTTTTGTTAGCAAAACTCTGAGTTGTACTGGGGTTCTTGTACAACATTCATTTCTACAGCATTGTTAGGTGCATAATTAGAGTCTTGAAAGAAAGAAAGAAATTGCTTCAGTAAATGTTCCTGGCATAACTTTGTGCAGACTGGAAAATCTGAGGCATGCCAGAACTTGGGAGCTTTTCTTGGCCTGGTTCAGTAATAGTCACAAGAGCAATAGACGGTGAACTGTACTCCTCGGATGGAGGCCAGCCACCAGCTTCAGCCAGCCCCTTTTATCTCTCTCTTCCTGGGTCAGACTCAATGAGGTGGCTGTTCACTCATATTAACAGGGATGTGAAATTACTCATATTCTCAGCTAGGGCTCCCAAAGCATATGGAGTGGTTTTTGGGAAACATCCATCATGATAGAGGAAAAGGGAGAGGCTTGAAATGTCTGTTGAATGTATTAAAAGTCAATCAGTAGTTCACATCCTGTTGGAGTAAGTTACCTAGTTAACACTGGAGAGGAATCCAGTTGCTATTTGATTCTGCCCATTGAGGGCTGAAGGGTGGTGTGTGGGACCACTTCTATAGCAGTATCAGTCTGTGTCCCACCAGGATACTTGTTTCACAATAAGAGTGAGGGATTTCCTTGTTTTTATTTTCGCTTAAACCTCATTTAGAATCTTTGAGAAAGTTATTTTCACCCTGAATTTTAGATATTAGCAAAGAGGTTTATGCCAGCATGAGTATATTGGTGTGAGCTGTGGACACAAGTCTTCTCTTGAATACAGCCTTGCCAAAAGGAGAGGTCACTGACCTGGCCTGCCTTCTGCTCCTTGCAAGTTTTCTGGCCATTCAGAATAATCTCTGGGGCCTGTAGCTGTTCTTCTGAACTATCCTTAACCCATTTCTGGCCAAATGAGCCAGCCTGTGGAAGGAGTTATGTGTAAATGGTTTAATCTGACTTGTCTCATTTTGGCTAAAAAGGGCAAGCAGAGGAAGGCCAGTGACTCCCCTCTTGTGAGGAGATGTACAGACAGGTCTGAGGCACTATAAATCCTGAGCAGCAACAGTGGTGACAAATATCTGGAGGCAGATTTATAACCTTTTCTAAAAGCATGGTGTTTGCAGTGTCTACATCTTTTGTAACCTTGGGATGATTTTTTTTTTTCACCTGACCTCCGTTTCCCTCTGTGTAATTTTTCTATATGAAAAGCTGAAAAGGGATGTGAAAGGGGAGAGAAAAGGCAGAGGTTTCTGTTTGCTTAACTCACCTAAGTGCTTCCTCTTGATCTGACTTGGCTACTTTTTCATGTAAGGAGAGCAGCTCTTCACGCTTTCCAAGACTTGTGCCCTTTGCCAGCAGAGTACTTGTGTGCACCAGGGGATTCGGAGCTGGGAATTCAGACAGTCTTCACAGGACTTGGTGTACTTCCTCCCACTGGGCTGTTCACATAGTGTGGCCAGCATCAGGAGCTTGCCTTGGTCAAACTTTTCCCATGTTTTTGCAATAGATAAAACCTAAAAACTGATGTCTTAGTAAATGAAAAGGATTGAATTTAAATTGAGATCTTTATGCATTGCATAGCTGTATTTGGCCCTGAAGCCATCATTTTAATAAGTTTGCCTTTTGAAATTAAATTATAGAGACTTTATGAGTAGTTCAGTCCTGCTTTCACTGATAATTTATCCAGGACAGTGGACAGAAAAGGCTTCATGGTGGCAATCGTGTGGGTAGCTCAGGCTGTTTTTTATATGTGCTGGCTTTGTGCAATAAAACCCACCAGTAACACATTCATAAAATAATATAATAAAAATGACTTCCTAGGTATAGTCTAGCAAGCACATCTTCAGTGGAAGGAAAGATTGCATCCATTTTTTCTCCTTGAGCTTGTTTTGGAATGATAGGTGTCTTCCTTCTTGAAATCCTTCCCTTGAGTGCCAGAGCAAGTGTTGCTGGAGTTGCATCTCAAGACAATAAGCACCTTTTAAGTGGGGGGGCAGGAAAGAAGTAATTCTTCCCTGGGAGCACAGCAAAGGCTCATCCATGCAAAGCCTATTTTTTAAAGTGCGTGTTGTGCCACCAGGCAGCTGCTGTGCTGCAGATGTTCCAGGAATTGGAGTCAGGGAGAGGGACCAAGCGGTTCTGTCCAAGGCACCTCATTGTGCTGATGTCACTGTCCAAATGCCCCGTGTAGGAGTGTTTAAACAACCTCCCCGGCTGTTCTGAAGGGGCTGTAACCTCTGAGCTGCAGCATGTGTGGCACAAGCTCGGCACAAGCTCTGCAGCAGACGTGATGTTGTGTAGCACTTACATGTGCGTGGCACCCAAATGTTGCTTCTCAGATGGAGCTGCTGACAGAGCCGAGCTGCTTTGTGCAAACGCGCCAGTGGCTGAGTGAATGACTTTATCTGCCAGAGTGCAAATTCCTTGCCGGTAATTAACAGGGGGCTGCTGCTGGGGGCTGCCCAGGAGGCAGCTCTGCTCCCAGCACAGGAGGAAGGGACTGGCTGAGTCTCCTGTTGCATTTTCCAGCTGCTGTTATTGGTACAGCTGCTTACCCATCGGGAGGCTTCGGGGCACCTTTGATCTTTCTTGTGTGCTGTTACATGAGCTGAGGAGTGTTTCTCTTTGTACAGAAGATATTTTGTCACAAGTCTCGGCCAGATGTCTCTTTCCAGACTGATGAGACTCCCATTAACCATATGTGTTTCCACCAGATATCCTGTGAGCTAGATGAGATTGGTTCCCAGAAATGCCTTGTTTACCTGGGTTGCATCTACCATTGCAGGGAGGTTGGCTTCTGCTTTACTGTGATAGCTATGCTAATCTGTGAATAACCAGCATTTCCTTGGAGAGATTTCTCTCACAGCATTGTCTCTGAGTTTAGCAAGCAAAAAGAGCAGCATGCTGTTGTGCTGTGAAGCGTACTTCCTTCCACAGCTGCATCTGGATGGTAGACAAGGGGTTATACACATCTGGATTTTACCAGGGTTTGTAGGTTTTGCCACAACTGTGTACAGTTAGATGTGAGCTGGTTAG